AATAACCTGCCATGAAAATTATAGAAGGCAGAAAACAAAACGTTAAACATTGTGATTTCAACTACAGCCATAGCTTAACTGGGTTCTATGCCGATTTGCGCTCCCCAGATCAACCCCGCTGACGGGTGATTGCTGTGGCAAAAAGATCGATAGAAATAGCAGAGAGACGTGCGAAACAAAGGACCCGCATGGTGTGGTGGTGAACGCGTTACTCCCCGGAAAGGATAATAGCGCGTTCGTTCCCCACTATAGACACCTGCGGTCCAGAGTTTTGCAAATATCTCAGCAACGTTGTAGTTCTAAGAATGATTGATGAATTCAAGTCTTCTAAGGTGTGCTATGTTAAAAGCAAGAGCTCTGTATGCACATTAGACTGACATTTTTTCTCAACGTACTCTAGTTGTTCCCAAGTTGGCCACGACGTTGGATTTTTTTCACGAGCTTTCATATTCATAAAAGATAACTCGAGTTGCGGTGTCAAATGGAAGCTTTACCAATATGGGGACTCCGACATTTTATAACGAAGTCGCTCCATGGATCAGTTTTGCAGTTTACGCGATGACAGGCCGTTCCAACGGACTTCACATTTGGTTTATTAAGAAAAATGGCGAGAAATGTAAACCTTACAGCATTTTTTTTTGTAAAAACAGTTGTTTAATTTCGCATAAACTAGCACAGTTTACCGGTAATACTAATTTGAGTCCTTTAGACTTGAAAGGTATTCCTCAAAGTTAGTTGGGCTTCTCCTTATCAGTTAAATTTCAAGGTCCTAATTTCTTAATTCCTCCAAACGCTTTACCGCCTAGTCGTGGTTAGGAGGTGTTCCTGGGTGTCGGACTGCGATGTACAGCGGGTGAGTCATCCTATGGCAGGCTCACCCAAGCTGAGGAGTCTGGCTCTTCCATCAGGAAGCCTGGCTAAGAGTAAACCAATACCAAGATCCACCACCGTTCTGGTATCAACGTTGCATGGTGGCAAATCTCGCTCTGGTCCACAAGGGTTGTGACTGCCTTTGGTGGTGAAGATCTGAAGTAGAGTTTGGCCAGGCTAACCTCGGGATTCCAGAGAGCCACAGTGGCTTAGCCAACAAATCTCCGAAAAATAGAGATTACGTTGGGGCTCTCACAAGCAGTGAGGACTGGCCACTCAAGTATCAAGTAAGTAAGCAAGCGTTTTCCTAATTTCAGTAGGGAAATACATGGCGGTGCTCAACTTACTGGTGTGATATTTCGGAATGGTTTTCAGAAGTGAACAAACTATTTTTTATTGTTAAAATAGCGTAAGACAGCAAACTGGTGTAATATGGAGATTGTTATGCGCATTTTTCTCACTGAGGATGACATAATGTGAGGTGATAACTGCTCGATCTCCTGGTGAGCCTCGGTTTAGCCGAATCGAAGCGGTCGCGGTCCCAATCCACGCTTGTCGGACCTGCAATGCGAACGGTTTAAGTTCAGGAAGTTCAAACGATTACAACTAGAGTAGATCCTCACGCTCCAAACATCAATTGATAACGTTCAGAGTAGATCAGCACGCGCCAATGTCAATCAATAACAATCGTCCAATTCTGTTTAAACGTGCCTCTGTTTCCTTCTGCTTCGTTCTTTTTTGCAACTTATAAGACATTCATTAAAATAAACCTGAGGAAAGTGAGAAGAATTTCTGTTTTCCCTTTCCCTTCAACTGCTATCGAGTTCAAGGGCATTCAATATGATTTTTAGTTCACATCAATTAAGTGTATCAGTTTGAAGACTTTGATTTTATGGTTTAGAAACCGACTTTCGTAACCTCGTCATGACTAAACAGCATGTATTCTTTCATTGTTAAGCCAACACGAGGTTCGTAAAGATGTTTATTCGACTTAGGTTTCGATGTCTTCGTCTTTCTCAAAGCCGATGATCCAAGTCGATATCCATGGTCGTTGGTCCTGTTGATGTGGTATCTCTGTCGTCGTATCGAGTATAATCCTCTCCATGCGATGACGAAAACACCACGTCGAAGGAACGAACGACTGTGGGCCATCGACTCGGATCATCGGCAATGAGAAAGACGAAAAAGTCGAAACACTAGCCGAATAAACCTTCTTTTCAACGTCGTGTTAACTTGTCGATGAAAGAACACTTCGATTTTGCAAAGGCTAAGAAAGGGACTCAGTGATGCAGGGTGCAACACGCGAGCCCACTGAAAGGGTGATCGTGGCTCGGTCTGGCCGATCGTCCAAGTTTTGCGAATATCTCGGCATCATTGCGGTTGGCTTTCACTTCATACCCTACCGTAAAAATCATGGTAGAATGCAAATAAACGGTTAACATAGTTTTCTGCAAAACTCCAGACTGCAGGTGCTGCGGTGGGGATCGAACGCGCTATCCTCCTTTCCGGGGAATAACGCGGTCACCACTACACCGTGCGTGTCCTTCGTTTCGCCTGTCTATCAGCTAGTTCTATCAATGTTCTGCCATCAGCAAACTGGGTTCAATGCCGATTTGGGCTCCCAGATCAATCCCGTTGACGGGTGATTGCTGATGGAAAAACATCGATAGAACTAGCTGAGAGGCGAAACGAAGGATCCGCATGGTGTGGTGGTGAACGCGTTACTCCCCAGAAAAAACAATAGCGCGTTCGTTCCCCACCCCAGAAACCTGCTGTCCGGTGTTTTGCAAATATCTTAGCATCATAGTAATTATATTTCGCAAAATACCCTGTCGTTAAAAAGAATAGGCAGTAAATGAAAAGTTAAGGTTAACATAGTGTCTTCGATTTCAGTTATTTGCCTATTTCTAGCTTTTTTCATAGTAAAATATATGTAAGCGTACTCGTTTTGTCGCTTAACTGTTCACGTGTCATTTGCTGAAACCACAGTCAGGGAGACAGAAGTTTTGAAGAAATCTATTGTTTTGCACCCACTCGGGATCTCCTTTGCAATTAGCCTCATTTCTATCAAACTGAGAAGATAATCATTTAAGACTTTTCACACTTATATTGTCAAGTCATCGAGTTATTTGCGAACCAAAAATTCGCACCTATTATTATCTTAGAAGGGCGCGTATGGTGCAGTGGTCGGAGGCGCCCTGCAACACACGTGGGATCGATACCCGCGCTCAAGCTCACCAAGCCCTCCATCTTTCGGGGTGGGCAAATTGGTACCACACCTATCCGGGAGTATAGCAGCACTAAGTTGACACATCGGTAGGCCACTACGAGTTTTTTTTTGTAATGGTTGTATTGGCATTGTAAAAACCAGATATGCATTCAATCACCTCCAACGATGCTTAATGAAGTCGAATGCATGGCGCATCCCTCAAGGATTGATCAACGCCGAGAACGTTATCCTTTATCCTTCATTATTCCTTTAGTTAGAGAATACAAGTTGACATTGTAGTCTTTTTGCACTCCTCAATTGTAATTTTGTAGTTTATGCATATTTTATTCTTTAAGAACGCTCTCTGTCGAATTGTGAAAAAAACACTTTCGTATTTGCATTAGGGAAGAATTGAAAAGCACAAATCTCAAACTGCACTCGTGAGCGGTTATTTTTCATTTACATAAGCGTAACTAGAAGGGCTACAATATTTGGAACAGCTATTATCACTTGATTTTAAAGAGGAAAGCTTAACAATGTCCAGCGAATTCAGCGAAAAACCATTGCCTAAAACTAGACGGCTTTCACTGAGCAAAGCCAAATCTTTTTGATTTGATAGTTGAAGAACTTATATCGGGTTACTGTAAGCCGATTGGAGTTCTCAGCTGGTGAAGAATCTCACGTCATCGTCATTAACACGTATTTTGTTTATGTTGGAGACATGAGTGATAAGTCATGGTAGGCTACTGGACGAGTTTTCCTCAACACACGAACGATTTCGATGAGTTTTCATCCAAAATAAGAACGAAAACTACCAGTGGTTCAACACCATAAAGGGAAATCATCGGCTTAGTACATTTATTTTCTGTTCACCCATTCATAGATTTTCGCTAAGCGATGTTAACAGCCTCATTCTGTTGAGTTGGCAACTCGAGATGTTTTCAAGTGGAAGGATACTTGCCTTCCAGACACGTCATTACCATTGTTCGAAGTATTGTCAGCTGAGTTAAAGTGGAGTTCGTAAATTTGTGCAAAAAGCAATGGAGCATTTTGTCACTATGAAATTTGCAAAAAACAGCTTAATGACATTTTCACGTTTTCATTGTAACTATATACTCACTTGGGTACTTGAATGACACGTCCTCACTGACTGTGCGGGCCCCAGCATAATCTCCATGTTTTTGGAGCCTTGCCGATTTAGCCATTGTGGTTCTTCGGAATCCTGAGGTCAGCCTGGCCAAAGTATGACCGATGGCGTCACCCCCACAGACATTCGCAGCCCTTGTGGATCAGAGGGAGATTTGCCGCCATTCGATTAGTTTGATGCCAGGACGGTGGTGGATCCTGGTTTTGTTATTGTATACCTTTTTAAAATTTGTTTTTTTTTTGTTTTAGTGTTCTATGTAGAAGTTTTTTAAACTTGGCGCACAAGGTTTTCAGGTCGGTTCGATTCATCCTCTCAAAGTATTTTGTGAATTCGGACTTTAACATAAAGCAGTGGTAGCAGCTTAAAAGGCATCTAGGTATTAGACTAGAAAAGAATTTCGGAAAGCAATAATAAACAAGATGATTCGAAAGGCTTCTACCGAAAGGAAAAAATAGATCTCAATGATAGGGAGGGTCGATTGCTTGCGTTAACAATTATCAGCAATCATGTTAGGACGACAATGGGAGCTGCTGCTCCAAAACCCATTTGGTGTGTTGTAGAGAAGCTCAAAGTCGTAGAGACTCAACAATTATTCGACGTTTGAAATATATTGGAAAGAGGAAAATACGTAACAAGTAGATGCTGCATGACCTCGAGAAATGGCAGTGACAACATTGCGAAGAAATCTGTTCTGCTTCAGGGCTTCTTCTGCACAACAAGAACTACTCATTTCTCGCCTGCTTTCTTACGCATGAAAAACGCTTGGTTCTGCAAGGCAGCCGACAAAGTTAAGTACATGATCGAGATGATGGTTCCAAGCATTCGCCAACGCAGTTTGCATCAAAAATGATTACGACCGCATTTCCGTCTTTGACAAATAGGATTACCAAGTGAAACTCTTTGAACCGTAGTAATTAATGAAATATTACAAAACTGCGGGACATGTATTCAAATATGGCTCAAATAAAAGATACTCCTTTAGCACAACTAGGTGCGGTGACACATTGCATAATTTAACGCTGCAGAAATTGAATGAGTTGGGCTACGTAACTCTACCTCAGCCACCATTCTCGTGAAATTCGCGCTAAGCAATTAGCACTTAGTATCTCAACGAATTACAGAAAATGTTTGATAATCAGAGCGCTTCCAAGAGCACCTTCAAAGAATTAGTCCTCTCACGGGTTTTGTCAGAACTTTATATTACCGGAATAAATAAACTTGTAACTTGTTGGCAAAAATATGTAAATTCTAATGGTGCTTAAGAGAACTAACAAGATTGTGACCAAGCGTAACTGCAACGATCTAAAATTCACGGTCTGAAACCACAGTTCCTTTTCCACTAATCTATCCCACTACATAATCTCCCATTCATAAAATCTCGAGCAGAATATCTGCACGTTTTGGTCGCTACTAACTTCGACAATCTGTCATAGCCTCCCACTTGATAATGATGTTCGTTCTGTCTGTTCATTCAATCTGCTACTGTTTATTCAATTGTGTGGTGCAAAATAACTCAGCACTTAACCTTCTACTCAGATCGTCAACCTCACACACGACTCGTTTTCACACCTTAATGATTCGAACGCCGTTGAAATTTTCTTCAGAGAACAGCGATCCATATATGTACACTTTTTTTAAAAATACTAACATCATTGGACGCATTCCACCTGGTGAAAATCTGATGTCAAGAACGTCCTTATGACTGCATCTTTTCATAGACAAAGAGGGAAATTCGCCATTAAGTGAAAAGTTGCCCGAAGAATCAAAAACCAGGTGAGGAGAGTGGCATGCAATGCAATGAATTATTCTTTAGAACTAACGGCCACCGTTGCCCTCGTTCTCTCAAAATTTCCAATAGCTCCCTCGTTTTACTTAATCATGTACTTGACAGTGGTATTATATCCTCCTTTTCACCGAAGAATAGGAGATGCTAGTGAAATGATCCCAATAAATCCTCTATGTAATCAAGTAATCTAACCGTAATCTTTGTATTTTAAGATTTGATAAACACCAGCAAATCTGAGTTTTCCAGTCATAGAAGGTCATGGGACTGAAAGATCAATAAATTTATCCATTCTAAGACTTGTTTTAGTGAGTGGGCCCATTGGGAATTGATAAAAACTCAACCACTATCTCAAAAACCCAACTTTCTATAAACCTCCGCATAGATAGTTGATATCTCTATTTATATGATCTTATAAACTGATCTTCTTTAGCTGATGCGAGGTTGATGTTGTTTGTCGGTTGGTTTGTGAGTGGGACTCGTAACATCACGGCTCTGAGGAAGGCGAAATCGCCGAAACGTCAGCCATCTACCAACAAGAACAACAGCAACAACTACAATAACGACAACGACAACGAAGACCTATACCAACCTCGCATCAGCTAAAAAAGATCAGTTTATAAGATCATATAAATAAATATATCAACCACTATCCATCCAGTTAGTAACCAATTGAATCTGTTATCATTTTCCTAAGAATGCAGCATATTTACTTACTTGGATATTTGGACGGCCCATCTTAACGGGGAACGCAACAGATTGATGAAATAGAGTAGCTAGCCTTTGCTGGTCATTCATCAAACAGTTTTGTTCTCTATGGAAACTCATCGAGTTGGTAATGTCTCGAAATAATGGATTACTAACAGGAAATACTTGACCCTTCACTACTCTTGTCAAAAAGGAAATTCGATTTGGACAAAGATACTAACTTTAGGAAAAATGTATCTTGTCATAACAAAGTGCATTAGGACATTACTCCTCAATTAACTTCCACTAATGTTATTAGATGGAACCTCAAAGGATAAAGGATAACGCCTTTGGTGTTGATTTATCCGCGTGAGATAGGCCATGCATTTGACGCCGTTAAGAATTGTTGAGGTGATTAAATGCATATTTGACCACCATGTAACTTGCGGTGTCCCAGACCGGTCCAAATTTTCGACCTCCAAAGGATGACGGCTTGGTTTTTTTAGGTGAATAATTGAACCAGCTATTCTGCACGTCTACTATAATGCTGAGGTACTTGCAAAACTCCGGACTGGTAGGTGTTTGCGATGGGGAACGAACGCACTATTGTCCTTTCCGGGGAGTAACGCGCTCACCACCACACCATGCGGTCTTTTTGTATTCTGCATGTCGTTTTGCAGGATACCTTCGGCCAGTGCATTGAACTGCATGCAACAAAGTTTGGGCGGCTTGTCATCTGCCAAATAAGCTCAACACACTCACCCATGATCGCTAATGAAGTACATATCCTGCAAGTCTTCCGGATCGAACCGTTGAAGATATTGGTTCACTAAAAAGGAAAAATCATCTCTTAGAACTCCTTTCAGACTTCATGAAACCGATGAATTCACAGTACACTCAAGTAGGCCACAGAAAATATGGTGCGCTGTTGGAGAAATAGTTATGATCATCTATTTATATGTGAAGCCATCGACTCTTCTGAACAGCCGCAGATGTGGCTTATTTATCGACTGATGAAGTAGAGCTCGTTTAGAATAGTTGTTAAATTTTTAGATTGCCTGGAGTGTTGGAGTGACAATGTCGTCAAAATGTGTGAAATCAGTCCTTTTTTATAGTATGATTATTTGGACTCATCAAAAAAGCGGTAACACTTTCGCAATTTCGCAAAAGCAAAATAAAAGTTAAAGCGCTATGATTTCAACTGCAGCTTCAGCTCAATTGGGTTCAGCGTCGATTGTGCTTCTCAGATCATTCTCGTTGACGGGTGATTGCTGACAGCACCATTAGTGTAAAAACACAGCATGTGGGAAAGACAAAGCAACAACCTCGGTGAGAGTTGTGGGTAGCACGTGAACCCTCTGGTAAGGGTAATCACTTGTTCATAGCCCACTTTAGGAGTTTTGCTCAGATCGCAGCATCACTGTAGCCACATTTCACATTATACCGTGCCATTCAAAAAAGAATGGGTGACAAATAGAAGTCAAAACACAGTGGGGATATATTTCTTTGCATTGCTCAGCTTACAAATGGCTGTTATCTAAATTTAATTCGCCTAACGTTGCGACATCCTCGAATTCTTCGAAGCGGATCATCCGAGGCGTTCGTCCACAACGGTTCGTCCTCGCGCTTTGGACCTTCGTGGTTGTATCAAATCGAATCCCCCTGAGTGGAGCACCATGAAGTGAAGTAGCATCATGTGGCGGTGTACTTCTAGCAAAAATAAAGTAGTGATAGTTTTTCCTTAAACATTGGTGCATATAGACTCTACATAGCTCAACCATCCAGATCTGAAACAGGGGATTCATTACCCTCTGCTTAGCACTGGCTAGATGACGGATGACTTGAGCTTTCCGCTGTCAGCTGATTAAATGAAGAACTACCTCAATTATGCTGAAATCCACATCCAACTAAAAGCTCCAACCAATTACAAATTGCTTCCACTATGCGAAACGCTTATAGTAACAAATTTATTACTCAATACTGCGGTAAGATACATCATTTTAGATATACTGATTTCCAGCAGCAGAAAAGATGGGTCGTTTCCAGGATTTTCCGCTTTCGGCGTGAAGAAAGTAGGGTTTTCCATAGCTGATAACCGAAACTGAATTAAACTAAGTAGGTAGTATGTGATTGTACTCACATATCCTGTACGCTGCTTCAGCATCGCTGACAGGAGCAGCAAACGCCCAAGCGACAACACAGACGATGAACACGATAGATCCACAGATTCGCATCTGAAAGATCGAAGGAGCGCTTTATTGTGCAATTCATAGAAATCGCTAAAAGCAGTGATAAATGCTAAGGAATTCGTGACAACCTGATAGATCCAACGATAAAAAATCTCGGATTTTATGAAAAATCTGCAAAGTGGATACTGAACTTCTTTCATGAAAATGAAAAATAAAACTGAGCAAAATCGTAATGGGAGATGCTAAGGGAGAATGGAACTGTTGTGACGAAAAATGGGGGGATGGCAAGATTTATTGAGGCAACTGTAGTCGTTTCTTAGGTTAATGTTTACAGTTAAAACTGAATAAACTACAAATCGGCAAGGTGCATAGAACCCTTTTTTTCTTCTGTTGAATGCGCCAAGAAAATATCCACAGTTGGTTATTACTTTAAGGTTTCGCATTGCACTTCTCCGGAAGAGGCTTACTAATAGCTTCAGTAAACCTTCAGAAATCTGTGTGGTTACCTCCTCCACTGCGCACGTAGTAAGGATAAGGTCAACATATGACCTATTTCAGTAATTTTGTGCATAAATAAAAAAAATAAAACTTGCTTGGTGGGCTACAGCAAGCAGAGACAAATTAACGAGGATCGCTCAGGCTATGCTGGCAAGGGTTTAAGAGCCCACGCATGAATAATCCATCATTGAGGGGGTGGAGATAGTAGACGTGGTGGGTCACGCTATGATGAGTTCGTTGAAACGAATACTACTTTAGTATGATCGTATTTCTATGGGATAATAAAGTCAATAAATTATTGGTGCTCATTTCTGACAACAGTCGCAAGTATGAATGCCTACAGTGTGCCACATATTATGTATGTATATAGAATATGTGGAATTTACCATCAGTCACTCAACCGTTAGATGCTTTAGAAATTCAGTCATATTAGCTTACGCCGATGCATATATATATACATATATATATATATATATATATATACATATATATGTATACAGTGGTCTTTATTGGAATGACATGAACATGTAATGAATTGACAATAACAGTTTAAATATTGGAGAAGGGAAGTGCAGTGGCTAGTAACGTCGTGCAGTACACGCACGGTCGATGGATAGACCCCACTCTGCACAATCAAGCCTCCCATCACTCTAGCGTCGACAAAACCACACGAGGCTTGTCTAGTAAAAGGTCTCTTCGTTTCACAAAAGCCGGCAATTGGTTATGGTGTAGACCTAAAAAAACAAAAAATAAACAAGTTCAATTATTGAAAAGTTGTCAATGAGTTCCTTTTTGAACAACAACTACAATAATTATAATGACATTTTCTCTACAGGAATAAATTCGACATATTGCGTCTTAATGATCAAAAATGATGAATCGTAAAAATCCTGCAGATCGTAAAAAAATATTGAAATCAAGCAGTAGGTTGTCATGCACTCTGGATTCAAAACTGTTACACAGTTTGACAATTTATCCAGCATGATTAACTCAAGGAGAGAAAGAAAACTGCTCTCAAAGCAGAGTGGCCCAGATAACGCCATAGCTAAGATGGGGTTCAATACGTAGAAGATCCTGATTCGATCACAACAAGTGCCAATCGGGCCTCTCAAATCTTCTGAAACGACAAAGTCCTTTAAAGAAACCTCTCCGATCCACAATGGCAAGAGACTGTCTGTGATTAAGACTTTACAAAGGTTTAACACAACAATCCCAGGATTCCAGCTGGGATAGAATATCTCGTAGTGCTTTGGACACAATAAAGCGGATCGACTGTACTTGTTTGGCGACATTCATGAAAAGTACTGGGATCCTGATTCAGCAGGGGAATCCATGACCATAATCAAAGACTCTCGGAAACGATGCATGTAAGCGATTGAAAGAAAAAGTGTTGGGGTATGTAGGATGTCGGGTCGTATAAAAAACAACAATAATGAAAGAACTATCAATGAATGAAATGTTAACAAGCCTCTGTATCTAATTGATATGCAGTCCATTCGAATGAATCCAGTGGCATAAGATGGAAAACAACTGGCGCAGAATTCATCTTGAAACACCTTGTACTAACGAAAAATAGCGCTTACATTTAATTCATAGTGACTTAAAGCCTTTTTTCTTGGGGTTGTACACAAGTTTTTCTTTAAAAGAGAAACAATTCAGTGAAGGAAACGAGCGTTACGCAAATAAAAGTTTCATAACAAACTTATATTAGCTCAATAGTGAAGCAAACACGCTGATTAGTGATAAAAAACGCTTTCGGCGTTGATCAATCCATGAGCGATGCGCTATGTATTCGACTTCATTAAGCATCGTTAGAGGTGAGTGAATGCATATCTGTCCCTTGCAATGACCTGTCGTGACCTACCGATGTATTGAGACAGTGCTGTTTGCTCCCAGGCAGGTCTGGTACCAATTTTCCGATCTCGGAGGGATGGAAGGTTTGGTGGGCCTTGGCGCAGGGATCGATTCCACGTGTGTGTTGCAGGACGCCTCCTACCTCTGGGGCACACGTGCCCTCTGATTAGTAATACCGAGGTTAAATAGGTGCTGGCTTAAACTACGACGAAAAGTTGTCCAAGATGGAAAACGGAATATTGTAGGGCTTTATTAGATCTCGTAAGAAGCGTTTGAAATGGGAAGTGGAACTTAAGGAACACAAAAAAGTGGATAATGATGTTTATTGTCGGCTAACGTTTCGACGTCTTTGTCTTAAGCTCGGCGTCTCGAGTAAGCTCATCAAAGAAAGAATACATATTTATTAGTGATACCGAGGTTCAAGGAAAGTCGGTTTCGAAATATAACTACGCATTGTGCTAGCTGATGATAACACCGACTTCTGCACGATGTGCGCGATGATTATGTACGGAAGAAAAACAGGTTGTTATCACCGGACATTATCATTATATCCACCATCAGCATCGTGTATAAAAGGGGATCACTGAGTAAGGATGCCTCATTCGAGGAGATGGCTCACTGAAGAAGACCTGACTCGACACGAAGGCGAAGCTGCCACGTCGAGACGAATGACAAGCGAGCGACCATAGACTCGGATCATTGGCTCTGAGGAAGACGAAGACGTGGAGACGTTAGCCGAAAATAAACATCATTATCAACTTCGTGTAAGCTCATCAAAGGAAGAATACAAAAAAGTGGGATACAATACATTTAAGTGAAGCAATAAAGCAAACTAAAACTGAACTACTTTTACTGTTCTTTCTTTAATAAGCAAGCTGACACTAGGGTAGTAACAAATCTTATTCACCTAACGCTTCGCGCCTTCGTCTTCTTTAAACGAGGATTGATTCTAGCCAACTGTCCATAGCCATCCATTCTTCCGACATGGGTCTTCGTGACTGCATCGACCCAAGTACAGATGAACACCGCTCGAATGAAGTAACTTCACTCGGCGGAACTCTGTCACACAGTACTGTTGCCGGTAGACCAGCTGCGGGCTAATAATTATTTAGTTTTTTTCGCTCTTCAATGCTGCCTTTCATTCTCAATTCAAGTCTGCATATTAGCAAATCCCTCCCAACTGTTTACCACCTCATCGCTGGGAGGTGTTCATGGGTGTCGGACTGCGATGTACAGTGAGGAGATTCATTTCCCTGAAAACGTCTCCAAGCTGAGAAGGAGACCGGCGTTTGCATCAGGAAGCCTAGCTAAGAGTAAAGCGCAACCGTCTGGTATCAAAGGCGCATGGTGGCAAATCTCCCTCTGATCCACATGGGCTGTGACTGCCTTTGGTGGTGAAGATCTGAAGTAGAGTTTGGCCAGGCTAATCTCGGGATTCCAGAGAGCCACAATGGCTTAGCCAACAAATCTCCGAAAAATAGAGATTACGTTGGGGCTCTCACAACCAGTGAGGACTGGCCACTCAAGTATCAAGTAAGTAAGCAAGAACTACTTACTTTTATCAGATGAGGATTACGCAACATCCTGCTCTTATATCCACCAGCAGTGGAGGTGTTTGAAAGCTGAGTAGAAAATGATACATTAACACATGATGAAATTCTCCGATACGAAAATGTTAATGTAATTTTTTAACCTCAGTTGGCTAATCAGTAGACATCTCGCCATTCTCAGAGATATTTTCATTTTGTCTCACAATCACTCTAACATGAGAGAACTGCTTGAGCGCATTGCGCTGGGTTGTCGTTGGTACGTGTTTACAACGAACGAAAACGATGTTGCTCACAAGGAACTCGTAGATGACAATTAACATCTAATGCGAAATATAACTTTAATGACACTGAGATATTTGCAAAACCCCGGACCGCAGGTGTCTGCGGTGTGAACGAACGCCCTACTGTACTTTCCGGAGAGTAACGCGTTCACCACCACACCATGTGGGTCCTTCGTTTCGCCTGTCTCTCAGCTAGTTCTATCGATTTTTTGCCATCACAGCTAATGATTTGCAACGACGTCATCTCAGAAAAAGTCATGCGATGCGAGCTGAACGGCAGCTTCCATCTTTAAACCAACATATCCCAGATTCCTCCCAACGGTTTACCGCCTCATCGTGGCTGCGAGTTGTTCCTGGATGTCGGACTGCGATGTACAGCGGAAGATTTCCCTGGAAAGGTCTCCCAAGCTGAGAAGGAGACCGGCGTTACCATCAAGAAGGCTAGCTAAGAGTAAACCAATACCGGGATCCACCACTGTGATGGTACCAAAGTTGCATGGTGGTAAATCTCCCTCTGATCCACAAGGGCTGCGACTGTTCGTGGTGGTGAAGACCTAACGCAGACTTTGGCCGGGCTGACCTAGGGATTCCAGAGAACTACAATGGCTTAACCAACAAATTACCGATATATGGTGATTATGCTGGGCCCGCACAACCAGTGAGGACCGGCCGTTCAAGTGTCAAGTGTGTGTGTGTGTATTAGCGAATCACATTAATGTTGAGAAAATCTACTTGCACGCCGCATTCTAAACTGAAATATTACTTGGATACTTCAAGATGTGAAAATATATAGTTGAGCCTAACTGAAAGATAGGCAGGAGCCAGCGAAGCTGGGATTACAATTTAGAGCTTCATGTTACAA